GATTTTACAGTGTATAGTGATGCTTCATACTCAGGACTTGGTTGTGTTTTAATGCAGGAAGGTAAAGTGGTGGCTTATGCATCCCGTCAGCTGCGACCTCATGAGTGTAATTATCCTACTCACGATTTGGAGTTAGCAGCAGTGATTTTTGCCTTGAAGATTTGGAGACACTATCTTTATGGAGAGAAGTGTTATATTTTCACGGATCATAAGAGCTTAAAGTATCTCCTGACCCAGAAGGAGCTTAATTTGAGACAACGACGCTGGCTAGAGCTTCTGAAGGATTATGATTGTGTGATTGATTATCACCCTGGTAAAGCTAACATTGTAGCGGATGCTTTGAGTCGAAAGACGGTATCGGAGTTGAGATCTTTAATGGCCAGGATGAATTTATATGACGATGGCACTTTGTTAGCAGAATTGCAAGTTAAGCCGACCTTGGTTGATGAGATCAAGGCTAAGAAGCCCCTTGATAGCTCCTTGCTTCCCATCTTTGAGCAAGTAGAGCAGGGGACAAGATCAGATTACGCCCTTGATCGGGATGAAGTTTTATGCTTCAAAGGTCGGTATTGTGCCTGATGATGCTGAGTTGAGGCAGATTATCCTTACTGAGGCTCATAGTAGTCCATATGCTATGCACCCCGGTGGAGATAAGATGTATCGGAATTTGAGAGAGAGGTATCATTGGGTCGGCATGAAGAAGGACATCTCGAATTTTATAGCGAGGTGTTTGACTTGTCAACAAGTTAAGGTAGAACATCAACATCCATCAGGTTTGTTACAGCCTATCAAGATTCCCGAATGGAAATGGGAGCGTATTACTATGGATTTTGTTACCGGATTACCTATGACTCCTTCGAAAAAGGATTCAGTTTGGGTAATTGTTGACAGACTTACAAAGTCAGCTCACTTCATTCCTGTGCGGGTAAATTATACTTTGGACAAGCTGGCGAGATTGTATATTTCAGAGATTGTCCGATTGCATGGTGTTCCATTGTCTATTATTTCTGATCGAGACCCGAAATTTACTTCGAGATTTTGGAAGGCACTACATACGGCTTTGGGAACAAGATTGGATTATAGCACATCCTTTCATCCACAAACTGATGGTCAATCTGAGAGAGTGATTCAGATTCTGGAGGATATGTTGCGGGGTTGCGTAATCGATTTTTATGGTAGTTGGGAGAACTTTTTGCCGTTGGCTGAATTTGCTTACAATAACAGTTATCATACCAGCATTCGTATGGCACCCTATGAAGCACTCTATGGGCATAAATGTCGCACTCCGATCTGTTGGACTGAGTTGCGTGATAGGAAAACGTTGGGACCTGAGTTAGTGCGAGAGACGGAGGACACAGTCAGATTAATCCGTGACGTTGAAAGAGGCATTTGATAGGCAGACATCTTATGCAGATCAAAGGAGGAAGGATATACAGTTTGAGGTTGGAGATCAAGTCTTTTTGAAAGTTTCACCCTGGAAGAAAGTATTGAGATTCGGGCGTAAGGGTAAATTGAGTCCAAGATTTATTGGACCATTCCGTATCTTGAAGAGGGTAGGACCTGTTGCATATCAGCTTGAGTTGCCTTCTGAGCTAAGTCGTATTCATGATGTCTTTCATGTATCAATGTTGAGGAATACCGTCCAGATCCAGGTCACATTATTCAGGTTGAAGAAGTAGAGCTGAGACCTGATTTGTCATATGAAGAGGAGCCTATTCAGATCTTAAAGAGAGATGAACAAGTTCTTCGGAATAGGCGAATTCCAATGGTCAAAGTTCAATGGAGTAATCGAGGCCCCTCAGAAGCTACTTGGGAGACATTGGAGTCAATGAAGGCTCAGTTTCCTCAACTATTCTCATAAGGTAAATTTCGAGGACGAAATTTCTTGTATAGGGGGAGAATTGTAACAACTTGAATATTTACAAAATAATAGTTAAGTGAAATTTGAGATTTATTTGTGAAAAAAATTTACGAAAATTGGGGACTAAATTGAAAGATTTTAAAAACTTGGAGCTTGTTTTAGAGTTAAAGAAAATTCAGGGACCAAGCCCTGAATTTACCCAAGAAAGTTAGGTATTTGGGTGAATATAATCGTGCATTTGGTTCTGAAAATCAGAACCAAAATGCTCCCAAATTTCCTTTCCCCTACGCCGTTTTCGACCCCGATCCAGATGATGTTTGAATTCCGATCGTTGTTTTGAAACCACCGTTGTGTTCATCATCGAGCGAGGAACAAACCCTTCAAATTAATTGAAGCGAAACGTGGCCAAACGTCGGGAATTTCTAGTCAAAGTATCGACGTTTTTTAGCTCTATCGTCGGGAAAATCTTAAATTCATCGCCGATCGTTGCTTTGTTTACGACACCTCCAGCACCATCGTGTTCGTTGTGTCGTTACGAGTCCGCCGGTGTCAACCTTGTCCGCCGTCGACGGCGGCACGTGAGGAGGTGGAGCAATCAAAGATTCGGCCGATTTGAAATCGAGCTCTCCGCCGTTCAAAAATTTGAACCGATCTTTGTAAGTATCTCGAAATCGCTCAAAATAATTTTTAGAAATTTTTCTGGGATTTTTAGGGCCCCGGAGGACGCCTCACGCGCCACACGCGCCGCCGCAGGGAGAGTGGCTGCTGGAAACCGGTTTAACCGGTTTTCAATCGGTTCTGACCGGTTTGACCGGTTTCAACCGGTTCGAACCGATTTGACCGGTCTGAACCAGTTTGACCGGTCTGACCCGACCCGACCGTTGACCATTGACCGTTGACCGTTGACTTTCTTTGACCAAAACTTAAAATGGCTTTGACCGAGCATTAAACGACCGTTAATCTTTTCTGAGTATACCTATCCTGATAGTTTTCGACGTGCCAAATCCGTTTCCGCTGTCCGTTTCATCAAATTCGAACCCGAAGGCCTCCAAATCGATGATCAAAGTGGTTGACTTTGACTTTGACTTTGACCAAGAATTTGAATTTTCGAAAAGTCATATTTTATATTTTTCGACGTCCTGATTCCGATTCGTAATCCGTTTGGCCAAATTCAGACTCAAAATACCCCAAATTGATAGTCAAACCCGAAAAATGTTTAGATACTTAAGAATTCTAGCTTTGAACAATTAAATAAGATTTGGGGCTGATCAATTATTATTGTTTGAAGGTACAAGAGACTCTCCGGATCGTTCGACAGCTCGACCCAGCTCTTCTAGATCAGTTAAACCACGTGTGCCAGTATTCACCCGTAAGACCCGTAAATTTTATGATTTTAGGGATCTATTTATATTACTCATAAGTAATATAGTGTTATTGTTAAATAGGTTCGAAAACTGTAGCAGAGCGTGGTGAAACCAACAATCAGTAGATTTGCTATTTGAACCTATTATCTAGGTGTGTTCCCTACTTATTATTGAATTGTTTTATTGGTTTTAATATGTGGTACACCGAATTCATTGGTTATTGTTTTATGGATGCACCAATTTAATGTGACAATTTATGGAATATGACTGCTATCTAATTTTTGTTTTGAAATGGTATATGATACCATGTTTTTGGATTTATGAAATTTATGTCACGGTGCAATTGAATTTTGGAATTGAATTACGATGGAATAGCTCTGATCAAGCTAACTGGGCCTAATGTGACTCTTGAGGGCCCCAAGATGTTTCATTAGGTCGGCTTTCCTTTGCTGTGTGCTTAGGGTAAGCTATATGGACTTATTGACTTGGGCTTAAGGATACAAACTTCATAGCCTATCCTTAAGTCGGCTTTCTTTTTGCTATGTGCATAAAGTAAGCTATATGGAAAATAATTTTGGGAACTACTGATGGTGTACCAGTAAAGGGTTTAAACTATGATTTTCAAAAGTTAAACTATTTTACGAATTTGTGAGATTACTGGACTATGATTTGTACCTATTGTGATTTTATGGAAATGTTGGGACACACTGAGCCTAGCTCACATTTCGAAAATGTTTTCCCCTTTCAGATACTGTTGGTTAGATACCTCGGTTCGAGCACTTGGAGGATCAACATATCTCTTGAAGTAAATCAGATTGTAATGTTTTTATCTTGCAAGTTGACTTTATTTTGGTGACATGGACCTTATTTTAAAATATCGGATTTTATAATGATGACTCTTTTGCTATTACTGTTCGGTTTATTGTGATTTTGAATTTGAAGACATGTTTTAAATTAATTTATTACTTATTGGTACTATATTTACGAGTTGGATTTTGATAGTATAATTTGTTTATAATTTCATGTTATTTATAATGTGATTTTATATTGATGAAATAACGTTTTCGGAAAATGTCTTTAATAATCATAATGTGGTCCACTAGACTTAGTCGAAACGCATAGGTTGGGTCTAGGGGGTTACATTTATCTTTTAACTTTAGATGAAAAATTGATTTAACCTCTAAACTTTAGATAAAATATCAATTTAACTCTTGAATTCGACCAAAATCTCCCGTCATTGATCAACACTCATTACCTTTACCACCAAACTATATTTTTTTCTCACTTTAGATGCCTAAAATATTTTTCAATCAAGATAAGTGTAAAAACATTTCCAACATTACTAAAATAAATATTAAAAATATTAGATACATAAAGTAAAAAAATGTATAATTTAAGAATTTTTTTCCATTAAACCATTTTTTAATATAATTATCAAACTGATTTATTCACGGATTAATCCTCCCAGCTCAATTTATTTATAAAGATCTATCATTAAAATAATCTTCACCATCAATTTATTTCATACACAATATTTTAAGAAATCTATCTTCTCATTTCACTGTTCCACTGGTCAACTAATAATTTGTAGGAGTTCATGTTTTTAATCTCATATTTTACTATAAACTATAATGCCATCCTACGCTACGTTGCAGTAGAGGTGTTTAATAGTTTTAAACGCTTACGTTACTTCATCTGAGCAAAGGGAAAGAACATGATCAAAGGGAAATAAAGCATTTAGCTGATTAAACACTTTAAAAAGGTTTGAATGAAGTAAACAAAAGGTTTTGAGCAGATAGATAAATGATGGTGACAAAGCACCACAACCTGAGATGCAGAAAATAAGAATGCCAACAACAATGCTTATGACATTAAAAAAGGGAGGATGTAAGCTCGGATATATCCGATACTATCTGGCTATAATCGGTCTTTATCTTTTCTTGTTCCTCGGGGGCAAGTTCGCCTTTGGCGGGATTTGTTAACACCAGAACACAGCATGTTGGTCTCTTGGTTGCTCCCGCTGTTGCAAGATCCTGAAAATGGCAGAAGAAACTAGTCAAGCAGTGTTGATCATTTACTTAAATAAACCGAAAACCTAAAGTCGAAATCCGCCAAAGACCCTTTAGACATATGCTTATATACAGCTAGGGTGGAATTGCAGGATTTATAGGACTCAATTGGCTGTACATGGGAACAATTATTAGGTTCAAAGGTTTTGGATAGGCAAGCAGGAGAACCACTTTAAGCATGTAGTGCTACCAAATTAGAAAAATACAAGAGATGGAGGGCGGAGGTCCGAAGTTACTTCTTTTGAAGAAACATAAACATAGGGAATCTCAGCCTCTTCACATAGAATCGGGAGATGAGTTATGACATCAATAGGAGATATGTTTCCAGCTATAACACATAATCTGCATTCAACAAAAAAGATTGAAGAAACACGAGCCTCTCAAATGTTATCAAACAGCTGTATCACAGTATGGATTGAAGTAATGTAGTAAAATAGTAATGAGGCTAATAGCATCATAGACTTCTACTGCATCGACAAATAATTCTCAGTCCATGAAACTTACATTGGCATTCAAACAAATACATAATAATCACTCGATTCACTGACTAATTGGTGTTTGTAGAAGGAAAAGTTTACCCTTTATGGCCACGCCTAATGCTTTTGACCACTTCCTTCACTCCTCTCTTCAAGCACTTGTGCTCGGAAGCTGCAACAAAGAAAGACCAACACATTGAGAACTCAAACACAAAACAACACATTGAGAACTCAAACACAAAACAAAATATAATATCAAGAACCGTCATTTTAAGCACAAATTCAACCATTAGAACATAAAACCACCCACAAGCTTTAAAGTTAAAAAAGGAAAAGATTCAAAGCGGAGTTTCATGAAAACGATTGATTTTAGATAATAAAAATGGGAAACCTTTGCGGACGAGCTTAAGGGTTTTCTTGGAGAGCTTCTTGCCAGCAAGGGGCTTTGCGATGGGAGCAATAGCTAGCATCTTCTTCCTCTCCTTCTCCTTCTGATGCGACTTTTCAACTTCGCTATCGCTTCCCATTTTCCTCTCTTTTCTCTTTCCTTTTCGCTAACGATGAAAAAAAGAAGGGGAAAGATAGATAGAAGCAGAGCAGTTCAAAGATCAAAGTTAGAAGAGGCAGAGAGTATATAATGTGAAAGAAAACATAGGGCGGAAATTAGGGTTTTTCTATGTTAGGGTTTAAGATTTGTTTGTATCCCTAATGGGCTTTAAGACATTGGCATTGAACTATTTAATTTGGGCTGCCCAAATCTTGTTAACATTGTTCTTTTTTAGAGTTTTTACCGTTTCTATATATCAGATCGACTATTTTTTTCTTTGATATTGTGTAGTCGACGACATCGATTTTGATGTTAATTTTCGATCCTTGGTTCTCTTCTCTTTGTTTCATTTTTAGTTGTTTAATAAGATTAATTCTAACTTTGTGACACGTTTTTTCTGTCTTTATGGCACATTTTTCGTATTCTTTCTTGGTTGTTTGACTGTTTTTTATTTTATGTTTTCTCAGGTTTGGATTTGATTACATTGCGACTGATCAAGATGTCGCTTATTTTTAATCATGCTGATATTCCCTACTATGGTCTCTCATATTGAATTTGGATATGCGATTTTACGTTCGTGAATAGTTTCTCACGACGCTCGACTCTGATTTGTAGTTCTCGGTGGTCACTTAATAGTTTAATCCCCTTTTATTGTTCGTTTTCCCATACAATCAGATTTTTCGTATATATTTTTTGTTCGAGTCTTTTGGTTGAGTTATTAACATTTTTATGTTTGGTGCTTATATGATCTAAAGTGGCTAGTTTCAATATTATAGGAAAATGTCCAAATTATATATTTAGTTTACGATATAGTTGTAAACCTTTATTGTAATTTTAGATATTTTCACTTTTGAATAAAACTAGTAGCTTCTATTAAAACATAATAAAACATTTTTATATGTTGTGTCTATATGTGTCAATAAGCATTAGATAATACAATAGCTTGATAGAGTGGAAAATGACACTAAATTACTTAAGGAATATTAAGGGTCTTAATTTTAATATATATATATGATAAGAGCAAATTGAATTGAGAATATCGTCTCTATAGTGGACCTCTATAATATAAATATAACACCAAACCTAAATTAGTCAGAGAGTTTCAAGAACATATATAAAACTAATTTTTTTTTGTTCTTATGACACAATATCGTTTTTCTTTTATTGTTAGTTATTTATTTACATTTTTTGTGAGCCTTTTAATTTTTTCTTTCATTGAAGATTGATGACGAGTAAGTAGAATTTTTGAAATTTTAATGAGACATGGATACAATTGAAAATGTTTATAATAATTGAATAATTTTTCCATTATTTTAATTATCGAAGTAATTTTAATAAATTAAAAATATTATCAAAATGATATGATTGATTTTTTATTAACAAAATTATTCAATGAAGACTGAATCATCATAACGACCATGTTGTTTTATTCTTCTATTAAGCAATAAAATTCAAAATAAAAATTTATTTTACTTTCGTTCGAAGACAAAATGATTTGAAATCTTCAAAACTTAATTTCATATATAATAATATAAGATTTTTACAAGTAAATAATACATTTTTGGTGAAAAAGGAGAATTATAAATTTGATACAACGGCATTTTTCATTCTTCACCGAACTTTTCTTTAAAAATATTTAAACTTGCCTGGATATAGAAAATGGAAATCTTAATTAAAACCATCCAAGCTCTTTGTTAAAAAGAAAAAGATTACCAATGGGTCAATTATAAATTCTAGGATAAACCATAAGTTTCGTATCTAAATTATTACTTTTTGTTCTGTTTTAATACCTATTTTATTTTTTTAAACTCATACCAACGATTAATTTATGTTTCATTTTGGTACTCAAACGTTAAAAATGTGATATTGATGTGATACTATAAGGTAATGTCATGTCATCATTCAAAAAAAAATGTAACGCCAATAATTCTGTTAATTTTTTAATGTCTTGATACCAAATTAAAAGATAACTTGGTTCGTACTAATTATATTGGCTAGTTGAATTACTGTTGTCCATCATTTTCACATAAAAAAGGTGATAAAACCATAATTAAAGTTGCAATAATCACATCAAATAGCATTGCCAAACCTATGTTACAAATTCCTTATAAATAGCTTAAGCTTATTAGCATCAAATGAAGATAAATATTCTTTGGAAACAGTAAAAAAAACCTCATAATGGCTCCCTTTTTCTTCACTCTCATCTTCCACTTCTGTTTCCTTTTAACGGTTGTTTCAGCAATTTGCTTTAACAAGACCCAACGTAGCCGACGGTAGAATTCTAAAATATCACTGGCTCCGTCGATTTCGGAACCGCTCCTAATCGGTGAATTATATATTTTGTTTAATCCGTTAATTCGGTTAAAATTGAACAATGAACACTTTGAATGACATTTTTTTGTTTTGTTTTGGTAGGTCGAAATCAGTATGCGATGGCACGAGCACTTCGAATCCGAACCCAGTTTGTGGAAGGGCATTATGGATGGCATTGCACCACCGGACGAGAAGGTTGTATGTTTGTTATGCATTTTACGGATTTAGAGTGTTGGGTCCTGAAGGTGGATTGGTAACCATACTTTCCATCGCCGCGGACGGCGAACCTTACCGTTTTTGCAATGCTGTCCACGTCCATCAACAAACTGGAAATGTCTACTTCACTGATGACAGTTCTGTTTATGCTATAAGGTATTATCTGAGCTGCCTCTCGGATTCTTCATTTTTAAAATATTTTTTATATCTAACAATCAATTTTGTTATATATAACACTCGAAAGATGTGTTGAATGCCTGAAAATACATTGAAAAATAATTCCTTTGTCCCATTCAAACCCGTCTCTTATTATTATTTTTTTTTCAATTTTTTTCAACTTTAACATATTATTATTTAAAATTTATTATTCATAAAAATATATTTTAAAAACTTTCAATAGAATAGTTTTGAAATATGTATTTTATAAAGTTTAAAATTTTAAAATATTTAAAATAATTATAGTCAAAATTTAAAATTTAATTTTTAAAAAGTCAATAAGAGACAAATTAAACTCCACAGACGTAGTTATTCAAATTCATAATTTATAAGAAGAATACCACTCCTTAATGGATTCAAATCTAAAGACTAACTTAAATTAACTATTTGTTTATGTAAATAATTAAACTGTCTATATGTAGGTTTACCATATGTTAAAGCAAAGTGCCTTGTTTTTTACATTTACTTTAAATCAAGTATGGTTTCGAATTGTTTTATCATCTCTAATCTAATCAACCAATCGTATAAGTTTTTTTTATCATTGTTACGTGATGAACACGGTGTAAACATAATTAGTACATCTATTATAGATATAGCTAGCAAATAGCATTGCCAAAGCTGTGCCACAAATTCCCTATAAATAACATAATCTTAATAGCATCAAAACAAGATGAACTTCTTCTTTGAAAATGAAAAAGAAACCCTATGAGATCATGAGAACCAAAACTATAACACCTCTCGTCTTCGTCTTACTATTTGGTTTTGTTTCAGCAGTTTCCAGCGGCGTGGCTGAGCCGGTGCACAGTGCGCGACAGCGCAGGCCTAAAAAAACAGGAGCCCCAAAATAGAGTATATATATCAGTTGTTGCCATTAAGAAGCAGAAAAATAGGTATAAAACAGAAAAATAGGTATAGAGCAGTGGTTAGATCATTGGACCCATGAATTTGTTGATCATAAGTTCAAATCCTGATAACAAACAAAATTATTTTTGAGAAAAACAATGCAAGTGGGCCTGCTCAGTGTAATACAGTTGTAAATTTTTTCCTCTTTTTGATCAAAATACAGCTGTAAAAACAATGCAAGTTCGAGATCTAAAGACCAATTTACAAGAATTTGCACAGGGCTTCCAACAATCTAGTCACAACCGTGGCAGTTTCATTTAGCAAGGTTCAACTGCCGAGAGATGCGAGTGTGTTGAAAACATTTTGATGTTTCGATATAACAAATAAAATACTATTGAATTTTAAGATTTTATATTTGATTAAAAATTATATATTCGATTAAATTATTCGAATATAAAAAATATTACTCTAAGTTTTCAAATATCAATTTTAATCCTTACTTAAGTGTAAAATTGTGTTTTACTCTTAAAATTTTTTTGAAACAATGTTTACAAAGTATTTCGAACCATAATCGAGCCAAAAATAAGTTTTATAAAGGGAGGTACCGATAAACTCCTATATGTACCGATACACCCAAATTTCGAATGAAATAAGGGTACCGATACATAGCCGATGTACCGATGCACTCTAGGCTCCGAGAAACATCGAATGCAATTAGTGTACCGATACCCCTGAGAGGTACCGATACACTTGGTCAAATAACGGTCGAAATATTTGAATTTTACATTGAGTGTACCGATACCCTTTGATGGTGTACCAATACACATACGCTCCCGACAAATTTTTTAAATGGAAAACATACAACAACGACTCTATTGACTTCACCAATGATCCCCAACGTTCAGAAATAATCCAAGGGTGTATTTAAACAAGTCTTGAAGCCGTTGATCAACAAGAATTGAGAAAGAATCAAGAGAGAAAACATTAAACCTCAAGTTTGAGAAATACAAGCCAATTTTCCTTCAATATTCATTTTGCTTTTAAGAACACTCTTTTTGCTCTATTGTATTAATCTTTGAGTGTTTTTTCTTGTTCTACAATTGTGCAAACAATCTACCTTATGAGGTTTTTCTGTAAAGTTTGCGAAATTCGTAATTTTCTCTTTGGGAGAGAGTGTTCTCAAGAATTTGGGATATAATTCTTGAGAGAGTTGTAAGGTTACTCTTTGTCCTCAAAAGAAAGACAAATTAGTGAATTTGTGGAAAATCCTTAGTGTGGATAGCTAAGGTAGTGGACGTAGACTTTGGTTGAGAAACTCAAACCACTCTAAATCGTTGTACAAATATTTTCAATTTTCTGTCAAAGCTTCCACCGAAATTTATATTGCCAATTCACCCCCTCTTGGCTATTTCGTCGATCGATTAACTCAACAATGGGTATCAGAGCTACACTCATTTGAAGGTTTTACCACCTCTTGAGTC